AGGAAGTCTGTAGTTCGGAATGCCGTTCTTCCAGATTGTCCTTGGAATATCATTGCAAGCAGGCCCCTAGGGAAACTCCCCTTGGGCAGACTGGCCACTCAGAACTCAGTCATCTGATCCCATCATGGGAACAACCACACAGAACTGGGGTCCAGCCAAGTTGACACACAGCTCCAACCATCACAACTAAGCAACAGGGACAACTCAGGATCGGGATCAATAGGTTACCACTCAGGAATCAGGATCAGGAAGCTTGTTGGCGAAGTCTCCCTTCAAGGCAGGATAGCTCTCTGAGCTCCTCTTTGTCCTGCTATTTGTTAACACCTGCTATGCCACTGGGCCCCTTCTGGGTCTCTCTCTGTTTCAGTGTTACAGCCCTTGACCAGTGTTAGAGTTCTTTTAAAAGGGCCCTTGCCTTCTCTCTCTCTCTCCCTCTTTGCTTCTTCCTACTACTGCCCCTCTTCTTTCTGTTTGCCAAACCATTGTGGGGCTGGCTGAAAACACAAACTCCTCATAAATTTCAAGGTATGACCCTCCCACCAGGGCCATGAACTGACCAATACCCTTTCAGTAGGCCAAAGACACTTCATTTGCATAGTAGGGGCAGTTGGGCTACAAATCACCTCATTTGCATCGTCTAGTGACCAATCTCTGCAAGGTACATACCAATCACAGGGCAGGCTGCAGCCCAGGACTAGACAAAAATTATCAAAAGCACGTTTTTCACAGCTTACCCAGGAAATGTCAATCAACCTAGACAAAAGTAACAAACCCTATGAAGTAGAAAAATATGGCAAAGGGAATGCCTTAGGGCTTAGAGGGGAAATCTCACAAGCTGTTTTTCCAAGGAACCAAGGCAAAGGCCACATAAAGGAACTCATTTTACCACACAAATTTTTGCCACAAATCAGTTTTTGGTGCATCTGTGGAAGAACTAGTTAAAGCTTTGCGAAGCAGTTCTTCATAAAGAAGTTCTGGGATCTGTTCAAGGAGGGCTATTTATGGTTGTGTAGCTTGGGCAAGTCACAGCACCTCTGTGAATGTATTTTGTCACCTGCAATGTGTACAAAATAACACTTTCTTCTTAGAGCTGTAAAAAGCATCAAGTGAGAGCCTATATATCAGTACTTCTCAACCCTGGCTGCATCTTAAAATAACTTGAAGAATTATTTAAAAAAAAAAAAAGTTGACACCTAGGCCCCATCCCAGAGATTCAGATAATTGTTAGGGGGGTGGGCCCTGTCACTGCTCCCCAGGAGATTATAATATGCAGTCACTGCTGAAAACACAGGCCTCTTGCTCAAGGCGAGCTTCTCCAACTATAATGAACAGGGTCACTTGGGGATTCTGCCAAAATGCAGATTCTGATTCAGTAGCATGGAGACTGAGAATCTGCATTTTTAATAGGCTCCTGTGTTAAGCTGCTGGTCCACCACCACACTCTCAAAAGCAAGACACTAACTAGCTACAAAATGGGGGCGCTGGTGGTTCAGTGGTAGAATTCTCATGTGGAAGCAAGAGTCACAGCCAATGCACTTTATGTGCAACCTTATGGATGCTAATGGTCCATTGTTCCATTGTGCATAAGGCTGCCTTGTGTCAGGGGCCTTGGGCAGCTAACAACAAATGGCTGCAAAGCACAATGTAAATTACTTAAATAGCCATACACTTCCCCCATACTATCAGGTTTTGGCAATATTGTGAGCATCAGCAAATCACCTTTCTTCTTTCTTCTTAGTGTTTTAAGAGTTGTGTGTAAGATTTTAAAGACAAGCCTAAAAGAGTTAGACAATGCAATGTATCACTCTGGTTATGTGTTGCTAAGAGAACGTTTATTGATAATCATAAGCACACCCACTTGCTGTGGTACCATTGCTCACCACATTCATTACAAATTACATAGGTCATCATCTGTTCATCCGGGCTGGAATTCCGTACCCAACTTGGAAGGAAAAGGGCTCCTCGGGCAATTACAGTGACTTTGCAGTTGTATTTCTCACAGCGTTTGCATTTGATTTTATTTGTCTGCGTCCCATCAAGTCCTTGGGGAAGACAATGCTCCTGTATAGAAGATTCTGTGTAGGCTGCTCTCAGCTCCTTCAGCTCCTGGTTGGCCATTTCTAGGGCAGTCATTGCAGCAAATTCTCTTGGAGACGTGGCCCCAGAGAGCAAGTTTTGTTGCAAATGAGAATTTCTGGGGTTCTTCAAATTGGAAACTTTGCTTCTGATACAAGTTTTGTATTTTTTGAGGTTTCCTGAATAGAGGGCAAAAATGTGCTCTTCAATTTCTCTTGCAAATTTTTGCCACAAATCAGCTTTTGGTGGATCTGTGGGAGAACTAGTTAAAGCTCCATAAAGAAGTTCTATGCATTTGGTTCTCACGGGCATTGTGGGACCCAGCAACTCACTGGATTCCTTGCCAGTGGGTGTAGGGTCACAACCACTGTAGTGCCCCTCCTCAGGTACCACGTGAACAGCACTATTTGCTGGCACAATCATTTCAATGGCTTTCGCAACATCTTGGCATGATGGCTGAGAATCATCAGAGCTGGAAATGTCCAAGGTCTCATCTTGACTTGGGTCATGAGAAAGTCCTGATTTCTCTTCCTTTTTACCACTCTTGGAGAGTAACTCATGGTTGCTCATTGGCTTGAAGTGAGTAGTCTCATAAAGAGCTTTCCACTTTGACAGCAAACACTTGGCTTTCTTCTTCAAAGCAACCGTGGGGCAGTGTTTGAGGACTCTGTACATGACCCTGACCACATCTGTCTCCTGGAGATGTTCCTTAGTCACATGAATCATTTCTAGTTCAGTCAGGTGGTTGCCAAGATCCTCAAAATGTCTGTTAGACATGAGTTGCTCGATACGTGCAGCTCTGGCAGCTATGTGGTTCTTGGCAGACATTGTGACAGCTGCAAAGAAAAGGGAAAAGGGGTTTCAGTTGCTTTGGCCAGTCAGCTTCCTGATAGTAAAACAGCACTTTCCACCAGCTACCTCAAGTATCTTCTGAAAGTTACATAATATAAATGGTTGCAACATTTTGAAAATGGAATCTGAAGTGTGATGTGTTCTGAGTTTCAAAAGTTCCATTCCCGTAGTTGAAAAAAAAAGAAAAAGAAAAAGCAATTACTCAACCATAAAACGAAATCAAGAAATACATGCTACAACATGATGAACCTTGAAAACACGATGCTGAGTGAAAGACTCCAGGCACAAAAGAACAAATACTGTATGAACCTACTTATATGAAAGACCTAGAATAGGCAAATGCCTAGAGACCAAAGGTTGTTAGTAGTGACTAGAGGTGGGAGGGAGGGGCAAGGGGAAGGCACTGCTTAGGGGGCCCTGAGTTTCTGTTCATGATGCTGGAAGAATGTGGAATAGGACAGTGGTGATGGTGGCACAACATGATGAATGCATAAATGTCACTGAAGTACTCAGGTAAAAGTTGTTGAATCGGCAACTGTTGTGTTATACAGATTTTTACCACAATTAAAAAACAAAACCATCACCAAGCAGCACCACAAAGAGTTTCTGCATTAACACTGGCTGAGAAGAGGCTCATTGGATGATTGGCTACAACCTTCCCATCTCTACCGTTACACATCAGTGGCCTTTCTAGATCAAGATTAGTCAGTTAGTGACCACGCTGAGGATGTGATCATGCCATGTCAGCATCAGTGTGGTGATGCTGAGCAATGCTGGCCAGATTTCCCCTCTATTCAGCTACTTAGCTGAACTACTTGCTGATTTTATCATCTTTGTGTAGTATTTATCTCAATATGAAAGAATGAGGAACAGAGCAAAAAGGGGACACTAAGGTCTCAGAGAGGCTAAAGAAACTGTGAGCAAGCACAGGTTGGGGGACAGCTGGAACCAAGTCTGGAAAGGAGACTGTGGAGCCTGGCATCATGAAATCAACAGTGCTGGGCCCAAAAGTCACCAGGCCAGCAGTATGCTGACACTGGATTCTTCGGAATCACAGGGTGAAGGGTTGTGACTTTGGACTAACTGGTTCCTAGGCCAGAGTTTAGTGTCATTAACTTTTTTAAAAAAATATTTTATGTTTGTTGTTTTTGAAAATATACACAGCAGAACATACGCCAATTCAACAATTTCTACACACAGTTCAGACACTGATTCCATTCTTCCAGCTGTGCAACCATTCTTACCCTCCTTTTCCAAGTTGTTCCTTCCTCATTAACATAAATTCACTGGCCCCTAAGGTTCCTATCTAACCTTTCCAGTTTCTACTGATAATTTGATCTTATATAATTTTAAAGTATAATGCTCAAGGCAGACATTCATTATAGTTAAGCTAAACTGTTGTTTGGTTTTAAGAAGACTTCAGGGCATATTTTTCATGTAAAGTTTAAAGATTATTTCAGGGAAATAGTTTTAGGGGTTCATTCAGCCCATATAGCTCCAGAAAGTCTGGAGTCCACAAGAATTTGAAATTCTGTTCTGAATCTTTCCCCTTTTGATCAAGACTCTTCTATAGAATCTTTGATCAAAATGTCCAGGGTACTATTAACTTTTAAGTGTCAAAAGTTGCTCAATGGCTACGTCTTATCCTGGGCAGGCAAATGCTTACTTTATCTGATCAGTCTATTTTCCCTCCAAGTCCACGGGTGGCATAAACAGCTAAGTGCTTGGCTACAGAAAGGTTGGCTGTTTGCATTCACCCAGAGGTACCTTGGAACAAAGTCCTAGAGTTCTGTTTCTGAAAGGTCACAGCCACTGAAAACCCTCTGGAGCATTTCTACTCTAAAACCTACGGGGTTGCCATGAGTCAGAATTGACTTGACAGCAACTGATTTGGTTTAGTCTGTGGCATGGACACAACCCGACCTTCGTAATACCCCTGGAGATATATTTGTCTATCTGGTTGGAAGCATCTTGATGACAGAGACCCTGTGTTTTCAAAAACCTATAGACTCTGACCATTTGAGGGGACAGAATTGGCAGTTAGGAGGAGTCTCACCCCCCACCACGAGTGTCAATGGAGTGATAAACTTGGACTTTTACCTTCACCTTGCATTTAATAAAAAAGTTAAAATAAATAAATAAATAAAATAAGACAGCATATGTTTCTGCAGAAAGCCAGACCAGACTAGAGTTAGTAATAAGTTGTTAAGATTCATCAAGGAAAAGTCAGGGGCCCATTAAAACCCATTGTCATCTAGTCAATTTCAACTCAGAGAGGTCCTATAGGATAGAGTAGAACTGCCTCATAGGGTTACCAAGGCTGTAAACTTTATGGAACAGACTTCCATGTTAATCTTTATCTTGCAGAGTGGCTGGTGGGTCAAATTACCAACCTTTCAGTTAGCAGCTGAGCACTTAACCACTGTGCCACCAGGGCTCCTTAAGGGGCCCATTAAGAGGTTAAAATGGCTTGGCTAGGAGGGATGAAGGAGGAGAGGAATCCAAAGTTTAAGGACATTAGAAATAGCTATGTGAAAAACAATCAATTTTAAAATAAATTTTATTAAAATGATCAATAAAGCATCCTGTAGAGCTCTGGTGGAGTAGTGGATAAGGCATTTAGCTGCTGCAAAAACGGCAAGGAGGCCCCATGTTCTGACCTCCTAGAACCCCACAAGAGGAAGACAGAATCACCATCAATAGGGCAAGGCCTATTACTGCAAGGCCAGACATGCTGCCTCCCTCCAGCCCTTTCACCAACTGTTCCTCCCAAAGCACCCACCACCTCTCTCCTGGGTTCAATAATTCGCTGCAGTGGTCACACAGAGCTCACAGATTATGGGGTTTATTAGGGAAGCACCACAGGCTACAATTCA